CTCTGAGCCCCAGTCCTTTCACTCTCTCCTCTCTCTGAGCCCCGCTCCTTTCACTCTCTCCTCTCTGAGCCCCGTTCCTTTCACTCTCTCCTCTCTCTGAGCCCCTCTCCTTTCACTCTCTCCTCTCTCTGAGCCCCTCTCCTTTCACTCTCTCCTCTCTCTGAGCTCCACTCCTTTCACTCTCTCCTCTCTCTGAGCCCCTCTCCTTTCACTCTCTCCTCTCTCTGAGCCCCTCTCCTTTCACTCTCTCCTCTCTCTGAGCTCTGTCCTGAGTGCCTTCTCCCTGTGCCTTCACTGCCAGGTCAAAACTCCCAGAAGAGCTGATGCTGAGACTGAGATATGTGTAGCTGGATGTGTGCTCCAATGTGTTGTTGAGTGTGAATTTATACCTGTTTCCCTGAGGTCTGGCTTTCTCCTAGAAAACCACAACACTGGTCTTGTCCAGATTGACTGTCAGCGCCCAGGTCTGACAGTACTGCTCCAGCAGTGCCAGGATCTGCTGCAGCCCCTGTTCTGTGGGCGACAGCAGGACCAAGTCATCCATGTAGAGCAGGAACTTGATGTCTGTGTCATGTAGTGTCACAACATTGCTCAGAAATGAAAGCTTAAATTCAGGCATTCATGATACTGCAGTATACCTTCTCCCAGTTACTGTTCACACAGGTGCCCCGGAAGCTGATAGGGTCTGTCTCCACTCTTATAGGTGGACATGATCTGTCCTTGATCCCAGACCTCAGGGAAACACCCAGCTCACAGGACAACGTTGAAGAGATTGAACAGAGATGCTCCTGCCCCTCTCTCTGTCTCAGGGTGGTTGTTAATTACTCACTCCTCTCTTGTTCCCTGGTTAACAAACCTTTGATCACTAACCAGCGTGCGAGTTTGCAGGAAATCCCTCCCCTGCATCCAGGACACATGTATGAGCACACCTTGGATTCGAACCCAAGTCTGAGGGGTCAGTTCTAATGGAAGGTAGTGTTAGAGAGGTATGCTGGCTGTGCAGGTGACCTGGAGATGAACACTGGAGGAGCCAGAGGAGCTGTGTGAGGTGTTTACCAGGAAGAGCCTCCGAGCTGGACTTTGACCTGCAGCCTCTCTCTTATCTCTCTCTCCGCAAACATGCTGCAGCGCCTGGGTGATTCTCACACATGTCAATAAACACACTGAGGGCCCCCAGTCAACTGCCACCGACTCTCTGCCCCCCGTCTTTCTGCCCTGGGTCTCTCTGCCTCCTGTTTCTGAGCCCCGTGTCTCTCTGCTCTGCATCTCTCTGCCCCTCGTCTCTCGGTGCCCAGTGACTCGGTGCCCTGAGGCTCGGTGCCCCCCGTGACCCAGTGCCCTGAGGCTCGGTGCCCTGAGGCTCGGTGCCCCCCGTGACTCGGTGCCCTGAGGCTCGGTGCCCTGAGGCTCAGTACCCCCCGTGACTCGGTGCCCTGAGGCTCAGTACCCCCCGTGACTCGGTGCCCTGAGGCTCAGTACCCCCCGTGACTCGGTGCCCTGAGGCTCTGTGCCCTGAGGCTCAGTACCCCCTGTGACTCGGTGCCCTGAGGCTCGGTGCCCCCCGTGACTCGGTGCCCTGAGGCTCGGTGCCCCCCGTGACTCGGTGCCCTGAGGCTCAGTACCCCCCGTGACTCGGTGCCCTGAGCCTCGGTGCCCCCCGTGACCCGGTGCCCTATCTGTGAGCAGGGAGGACCCCTGGCAGGTGGCCAAGCTGGTGAGGAGCTACATGCAGCAGCACAACCTGCCGCAGAGGGAGGTGGTCGACTCGACGGGGCTCAACCAGTCCCACCTGTCGCAGCACCTGAACAAGGGCACGCCCATGAAGAGCCAGAAGCGGGCGGCACTCTACACCTGGTACGTTCGCAAGCAGGGCGAGATCACGCAGCGTAAGTACCCCCGTGCGTCCCCGCCGCGGACCGGGCGCCGGCAGCAGCTCCCTCCACTCTCGGCGTCAGCGGCCGGCCTCTCTGCCCTCTCCCTGCCAGAGTTCAGCAACGCCAGCCGCGGCCTGCTGGTGGGGGAGGAGCCCGAGGAGCCGGGCAGCAGGAGGCAGCGCAGGAACAGGTTCAAGTGGGGCCCCGCCTCCCAGCAGATCCTGTTCCAGGCGTACGAACGGCAGAAGAACCCCAGCAAGGAGGAGCGGGAGAGTCTGGTGGAGGAGTGTAACCGGTGAGGAGGGCGGGTGAGTGGAGGGGCGGGCCCGCAGAGAGACCCTCCAGCGCCTCACCATCGCCCTCTGTCCCCAGGGCAGAGTGCCTGCAGCGCGGGGTGTCCCCCTCCCAGCTGGCCGGGCTGGGCTCGAACCTGGTGACGGAGGTGCGAGTCTACAACTGGTTTGCCAACCGCCGTAAAGAGGAGGCCTTCCGCCACAAGCTGGCGCTGGACAGCTCCTACCCCGGGCATTCGGCCAGCGGCACAGCGCCTGGCGGCACGGACAGCCCCAGCCATGGTAACCCAACTCCCCTTGGCTCGCCAAAGGGCCAGAGCCCCCTAAAACTGAGCAACCTGCCTTTCCTGGAGCCGAGCAAACTGTCAGCGGCTTGCTGCCTGCCCATAACCCTCTGCTGCCTCTCTCTCTATGCCAGGGGTGAAGTACAGCCAGCCGACGGCCAATCAGAACATGGCATCGAGCGGAGATCACCATGGAGACAAGAGCATGGGGGGGCGGCTGGAGGTCAGCCATGCCCTGCTGGAGGCGCCGTGCAGACCGGTACTTGTCGACTCGAGCCCCGGGTGCAGCAGACCCCGTCATGTACCGGCCTGTATCTCTAACTGCCCTCCCCCTCTCCCTCGCAGGTCTCAGTGTCCACAGCAGGCGCAGGGGCAGGTGGGGGCTCTGGCGGGGGCATGCTGCCCCCAGTCAGCACCCTGACCGCGCTGCATGGCCTGTCCCCCTCTTCGCCCACCCCCGCGCAGGGCCTGATCATGGCCTCGCTGCCCAGCGTGGTGAGCCTGGGGCCAGGAGAGTCCTCGCTGCTCATTGGTAACCACAGGCATCTCACTGCTTGACACCTGTCTACATAGCAGCCTTTCTCTAGTCTGAAGGGAGTGTCCCACACTGACAGGCTGGAGGAACTGAGTCTCTTTAGTCTGAAAAGATTGTCCCACACTGACAGGCTGGAGGCACTGAGTCTCTTTAGTCTGAAGGGAGTGTCCACACTGACAGGCTGGAGGAACTGAGTCTCTTTAGTCTGAAGGGAGTGTTCCACACTGACAGGCTGAGGGAACTGAGTCTCTTTAGTCTGAAGGGAGTGCCACACTGACAGGCTGAAGGAACTGAGTCTCTTTAGTCTGAAGGGAGTGTCATATACTGACAGGCTGGAGGAACTGAATTTCTCTGGTTTTGACTTTTGTCATCTCAGTGGACTTCTTCAGAAGAAACTGTCAACAGAATAACATACAGTATTGGACTAATCCGTTACTAACAATCAAACCAGGTATCTTTTTTGTAATCAGTAATGGTCTTCCAATTTTTAGTGCATCAGTCTCTCAGTGCCTCAGTGTGCAAGTCTGTTAGTTTGATCATCTACTGCAGCAGTCTCTCTCTCTCTCTGCTCGTAGGTCTGGCCTCCACTCAGCCCCAGACTGTCATTAACAGTGTCGGGGGTGGGCTCACCACCCTCCAGCCAATCCCTTTCCAGCAGCAGATCCACACCTCCCACCAACAACCTATCATGCAGCAGTTCCCAAGTCACATGGGCCCAGGCTCCTTCATGGCTACCATGGCTCAACTATCCCCACACGGTGAGTCCGGGACAGGAGAGAGGGTGCTGGAAGGCCAAGGTGTGAGAGTCTCTGGGATGAACTTCCCCGCCAAATTGTTGAACCCTGTTCTCCGGGATCATCCAAGAACCAGCTAGCTGAGATTCTGGGATTGATGAGCTACTGAGTGATGAAAGTAGCAAGAGGAGTTGATTCCACCTCTGGCTGCCTCTCACGATCGTATTTCTCTGAACAAACTCAGGTCACTGTACTTTGTCCCTGAACTGCGCCCCCTCCTGGTTCAAGGTCTGATGCCCCTGTTGGTCAGTCAGAGCTAGACCCCAGTTGAGAGTTTTAGCTCAATGCTTCTTTTACAAAATGTCTTTCCACAGGAATAACCAGCAGATCTTTTTCACGAAGTATCCCATAAACGATGGAGCCATTTGTTCCTTCCTGTTGGACAGTAACAGGGAACACACACAGATACCACCCTTGTGTAGACAGCTCCACAGAGCCATAAATAAGTCAAGTAACCGTCAAACGAGACGTCTGTTAAGCCCAGCACCTGCCATCGCAGTGACACAGTCTGCTGTCTCTCCCCCAGTGTATGGACACAAGCCTGAGCTGCCCCAGTATCCCAACTCCAGCCTGTTCCCCCAGGCCATGGTCATCACCGACACCAGCGGCATCGGCACGCTGGCCAGCCTCACTGCTGTCAAACAGGTAACAGCTCACCTGAGGCACACAGTCAGACACGGCAGTCTATATACACACCAACATGCCCAGCACAGGTAATAACACACCTGTACAGGTAACAGCACACCTGAGACACACAGTCAGGCACGGCAGTCCATATACA